GAGGCACCACTGTAGTTCCTGTATTTCCTTTAGTGGTATCATCTACAAAGTAACTCTCCTCTAAGATTCAACAGAGCCAAATCAATATTCCATATAGGCTAGAAAGTACTAAAACATGGAATAAATTCTTCTTGCTGAGATAAGTGTTGAAAACTTGTTTGAAACTCTTTGGCACTATTCAGTGAGTTTGAATGATTTTACTGACTTCAAGGATCTCAAGTTGGTCACTAATAAACAACAAATCTTTCCCAATAACGAGAAAAGGAATGAGTTGGGCATCACTAATTTTACACAAGCATTTGAACCCAACTTCAAATACTAGAGTAGGAGAAAAAAAAAGGAACAAAGTCGTTTGCTACCTGTAACTCAATTCTTGCTAGTTAATTTACAGAAAACATTTTTCTAAGCTCCTCCAGGACATAGCTTTAATAGCAAAAAAATTACAAAAACATCAATAATAAATTGTTTTCATGGTTTTTTATATTATGGCAGCCTATTTAGGTCATTTTTAAAATTTTGTGAACTGCTGTAGGGCTCTGAGGCTGCATGATGGAACACAAATATCCTGAATCATATACACATATTGTAATCTTCCTTCTTGAGTTTAACAGATTAAGGTAATCTGGCACCAAATCCCAATTGGTATTGTTACTGGAAGGGATTGTCACTCTCGAATTGGCCTTCTCAGCCACACTAGACACTGTTCCAAGTCCTCTATTCAGAGCACGTTACCATAGTCTCTTGAGACAGAAGCATGCCTAACCAAAAATCTTCTGTTACTGCAGAAGTAAATTTTAGTAACAGAAGCTAAAGGCACCATAAACATCACTGCCCTTCTAATATCATGGGAGCTTTGGCCTGCTCTTCTTGCTGAGCAAAAACCATGAAAATAGTACAGTTATTCAAAACTAGACCTCAGAATGTGAGTCATAAGGCTTAGGTTTGAATTGTAAAACAATCGAGTCCATTAGCACTTACTCCTACTTAAGTTACAGAATCCTAGAATAAATTCTCCGTTTGTGTTTTCAAGGCTTTCTAAAAGTCCATACCAAAATTTAGGTTCTTTTTTTTCTTCCGTATCTCTCCCACTGCTGTGGCTAAACAACTCACCATTATACCCACAATTTGAGAGCAAGGTGGAAGAGACAGATGGAGCATGAGAATTTACTCCATAAGGGAAATCAGTCTTTAGCTGGAAAGACTAGAGGAGGGATATCAATTACAGGGCATTTTGGGACGTCATGAATTCTAACTAGTTTTCCACTGATTGGAAAGGAGCAAAAAATAAAAACACTTTAAAAACTCAGCTGGGTCTCCTACATTTACTTTCTCATCGTGCCCTACAGTACCTTGTTTACCAAGTCCAGGCTGGTGACTTAAAGGGCTACAGAAAAAACACGCCTCTTTATACATGAATTTTTAAAAAGGCCTTCCAGCAGGGCCACTCTAGCTCCGTTCCCGCCTTTTAAGTCCTTGGGCCGTCGCTGGGAGCTGCAAGGCGCGCCAAGCCCGCCAGAGGGAAGGGAGGGGGGCAGGAGGCGGGGGCAAGCAAGCGGGAGGCGGGCCTTCGCCCAGCAACGCTAGGAGGCGAAGCCGAGCCCGGTTGGGCCTTACCCGCCATCGCTCGGAGCACTTCTTGGAGAACTCGGCGAAGTTGACCGAAGAGTCCGGGTGCTTCTTTTTGTGCTCTTCGCGGCAGGTCTGCACGAAATAAGCGTACGAGGACATTTTGCCCCGAGGTTTATTCGGGTCNGTGCTCGTTTCCTCCAGACTGCGCAGTCCCAACTTTACTCCGGCCTTGGCCCAGCCCTGCTTAAAACTCCCTCGCCGGCCCGTAAATAAAACTTCACTCCTTTGTGGGACAACCGCACCGCGACTCTTATCAGCCCGCGGAGCTCCGTCACCATTTCCCAGCCTCGCCCCAGAGACCCTCCACCGCCCAAACTTCGCTTTCTGGACGTTTCCTCCAGACTGCGCAGTCCCAACTTTACTCCGGCCTTGGCCCAGCCCTGCTTAAAACTCCCTCGCCGGCCCGTAAATAAAACTTCACTCCTTTGTGGGACAACCGCACCGCGACTCTTATCAGCCCGCGGAGCTCCGTCACCATTTCCCAGCCTCGCCCCAGAGACCCTCCACCGCCCAAACTTCGCTTTCTGGAAAACGAAACGTATAAATATATGTACACGTACGGTACTTATGTCCTTCTTGCCTGGTGGCGATGAGGAAGCGAAGCAGCGGCCGTTAGCGAGGCGCGGAGCCCAAGGCGAAGCGCTCAGAACAGCTTCTTCCTTCCCCACAGCCGAATGGGTGGCTCGCAACGCACTTGATAGCCTCTTGTTTTCCACAGTGCTACCCGCCACAGCAACTTGACCCGCAAAGCTCCCTCTAAAGCCCACCCCTTTAGCCTATTGGTTGGCTACCGGGATCATTTGAACCGCTCGAAGCCACACCTCTGTAACTTCCGAAGCATTCGATTGGCGGAGACGGCAAAGGACGACACCAGCAGGAATGACTGTGTTCGGTAGAGAAAGGGGCGGGAAGAAGGGAGGAGGGTGGAACAGCTTGCGCTTCATACCCGTTGAAACCGGTTAGGGAGTATGGAAAAAAAAAGTGGGATTAAGAGCCCGCCCCCTCCAGGGCTGATACAGCTGGGGGAGGGAAATCACCCCCGAGGCGCCTGCTATTGGCCAAGGGAAAAATTCGGAGCTCTTATTGGTTGGAGGAAGGTGAAATAGCGTGGTTTAAAAATACAAAGGGGGTGGGGTGGAGTGCGGTGGGAGAAACAACCGAGAAAAACAAAAAGAGCTGGAGAGGGAGGGGGGCAAGCTGCAGGTGGCGACACTTTTGCAGCGGGCGGGAACAAAGCGGGCGGGGGCCTCTCGTGGGGTTCTGCTTTGCTGTGGTTGTAAGGCTGTTGGGGAATGGCTGGATTAGCCGGTGACTGTAGACTGGTTGTGTAACTCTTCCTTCTGCCCTTTAGAAAGGGAGGGAGAGAGGCTTGGCTTTCAAGTCGACGCAAGCAGCGTCCCTTGCGGAAACACCAGTAGTAGTCGGCGGTGCAGCGCGATTGCGTGCATCGCTTTACACAGTCAGATTCGAGAGTTTTGCTCCCCAGGTGAGCGCGCCCACGACTGGCGGCCTTAACTCCTGGGGAGAAGCCCTGGTGCTCCAGGACGGGCTTTTTCGCGCCCATTCTTTTCTGGCGAATAGAAAATTAGCTCCGTCCTCCTCGCAGGGAGGCGATGAGGGCAGCCGGTCGCCCTTCACCTCACCCCACCCCACCGGCGGCTGCCTTCCCAGAAATACATGCCGCTTCTTGCTCTTGCAGCAACCAATCTTTTGCATTCTCGCGCGAATCAGCCTGGCTTCTCCCGCCTTGTTGCGCTTCCTGCCGGAGGCGACTTGCAACGGAATCGCTCACATCGCTGTGGGCCACCTGTCGCTGCTTCTGGAGTGTTGCCCACGCCTCCCAGGTGGTCGCTGGAGTCCTTTGCCAGGCTGGTTCCTGAGTTGCCTCCGTCATCTCAAAAAAAAAAAAAAAAAGAGGGGGGGGAACGCCTCCCTCCCGGGCCACAAAGATGTCGGGCCCGGGGGACTTAAAACACCTCAGAGCAGACGCCTGCAGAAGAACCGCGCCACGATGCTCTGGGGCAGATGGTGGTAACGCCCGTCCCACCTAAAGCTGTCTCCGTTCGACACGATCATCTTTTCGTACATTGACGTGGTGGCGGGAGGTTTGTTCTTTTATACGAGGAAACTTAAGCCCCATCGCATTTATGGGGACTGAATTTTGAGGATCACAACTGCCCATTAACATTTAACTGTGGCATAAACTTGAAATACAAACATGGGTGTCCACCTGGTTTATTTCAACATAGACCGAAAAGCTTAGGTAAATAAATAATCTTCCCTGAAACAGCCCCTACTGCTAGATATCTCAACGAGATTGGGGAAGGCTTTTCTCGGTCCCACATCTTCACAGGTACATTTGGTGGGGATGAAGGCCTTCCCTGTCAGGGCTGCCAAACTCTGGAACTCCCTCCGACAAGCTAGGCTGGCCCCACCATTGCAGGCAGGCAGATGAAGACGTTTCTCTTCAGGCATGTTTTCCCTGTGACTGAAAGGGTTCGTTGGCTTGTTTGTAAATACGTTGTTGTGCCTTGCTGTACTTGGTGTTGATTTTATTTACTCTTTTTTTGGTAGAATTTGATTCTTTTTTAATATTTGTGTACTTAACTGGTTTTAGCTTTTAAATATTGGTTAAATGATTTAGTGTTTAAATATTAAATAATGTAAGCCACCTTGGGCCCTTTTTAAGGAGAAAGGTGGGGGAAATATTTTAATAAATAATCCTCTGAAAAATAATTTTGTAGGACGAAACTGTAGCCTTGACAGACCTGTAACTGAGCTGACTGTGTGGACAGGTGTTGCATGCTGGTGTAGAATACTGGTTATTGCGGTAGTCCTAAGTTAAATTCTGCAGCATTCTTAAAGTTTTAAAATTCTTCCCTACACCAATTTTTTTTCATTGCATGATCAAAACTGCCTGTCTAGTATAGGACAAAAAAAACTTTAGCATTGAGCAAAATGATATTGTCTGTAGTGTTGCAACAATATTTTGGCCTACTAGTAGAAAACATCCACACTTATTTTGTAAACATTTAGTTTTATTTTTAACTTTGAAGGGTTAAGCTATGGTAGAGTACCCAACTAGATTCCTGAAGGCAGGAAATGATCAAATTATTCCTCCTATCCATTATATATAAGGAACAGAATATAAATATATATATTGGCCTTCCCTATATGTAACTTATAGGGAAGTTGTGTGAAGAGAGGTAAGTATCAGCCCTCTCTCTCATACACACTCCACCCACATGCAAACTACTAACACAAATATTTTACAGTAGAATCTGGAAATAATGTTTACCATAAATGGCAGGATTGGCTTATTAGGAAATATCAGGAGCTTTAGCTGGTGCATTTGAAGCAAGGATGCTCATGTTAATAATTTATACACAGAAGGAAAATAAGCAGTGTGGTGAGGTAAATTTTTACTTGTTGTCAAATAGTTGTAGGACACCATGCTTTTATGTGGCTGATGTTTGTGGTAGAGGATATTTAAGTAACAGCATGTTGGATTATATTTCTAGGATATAAAAGCTAGCACCAGATTGTTTAAATCAGTGGTTCTTAACCTTTGTTACACAGATGCTTTTGAACTGCAACTCCCAGAAACCCCAGTCAGGACAGCTGGTGGTGAAGGCTTCTGGGAGTTGCAGTCCAAAACCCCTGAGTAACCCAAGGTTAAGAACCAGTGGTTTAAATGAAAAACATAGGAGTCTTGCTAGGTGAGGTGAACAGTCCTGTTCTAGTATTTATTTCTAACAGCTATATGCCTCTAGGAAGCCTAGGACAGTTATGAAAGCCACAGTCCCATCTCTTCTGTTTCCTTCTCTATGCAAGCACTTTCCAAACCGGGGAGGGAGGAAGTGGAGACATCTTAGAGCAAAATGGTGTGGCTGAAATAATGCTTCTCCAACTAGCAAATTCAAACCCCAGATTAACCCCTCCTTTATTGAAATACTTTTCTTATACCTGAATTTCCCCCTGAAATAAATACTGCCGCATAATGCCTGTAGCCACCCACTACACAGCTTGCCACCAGTGGTATGGAAGAGCTGGAGTGAAACACAGGCTTTGACTGTATCAACAAACAGTAGGCAATGCAGGCCTATCCACCATAGTTGCATAAACTTTATTAATCCAAGCCAAATTATTTGGTCTGCAATAAACATTGAGAAGTGTTTAAAAAGGCCATTCTACTAGAGGTTCCAATTATTCTTTCTAATTTATATAGAAAAGACATCCCACCAAATATTTTGTTCAGAGAAATTGCTTTAACTGTTGTACTTCAAACTAGCAATCTTGGCACTAAATTAAAGAAACATGTTTCCCCTTTATTACTGACAAGAGGATTAAGAAGGACTCTTTCTTAAAAGAAAAATGATCATTCCAACTTTATATTGTGACTTGCTTTCCTGCAAAGCAGAAAGCCTAGACAGAAACAGTAACCATTCAATAAGCAGAAAATTCACCTTTTGTAGTATCAGCTGCTAAATCACAGCACTGACTCAAGGAATAAATGCATACTACACAGGAAGTATGCTATTGCTAATATCCTTTTTCCATATGTTTGTTAGCTTACTTCCCTGTAACTAGCTCTTTCAGTTGGTCATATGAGAATTCACACATGTGGGTGTATTTCTGCACCTACACAAAGCTTAGAACATTCTAGAGCTTAAACTAGACCATAAAGAAGGCTGACCACCGAAGAATTAATGCTTTTGAATTGTGTTGGAGAAGACTCTTGGGAGTCCCCTGGACTGCAAGGAGAACAAACCTATCCATTCTAAAGGAAATCAACCCTGAGTGCTCACTGGAAGGACAGATCCTGAAGCTGAGGCTTCAATACTTTGGCCATCTCATGAAAAGAGAAGACTCCCTGGAAAAGACCCTGATGTTGGGAAAGTGTGAAGGCAAGAGGAGAAGGGGACGACAGAGGACGAGATGGATGGACAGTGTCACCAAAGCTATCAACATGAATTTGACCCATCTCAGGGAGGGCGTGGAAGACAGGAGAGCCTGGCGTGCTCTGGGCCATGGGGCCGCAAAGAGTTGTGCACGACTTAACAACTCAACAAGAGTTTAAACAAAATAATTTTTAGCGTGCTCTGGGCCATGGGGCCACAAAGAGTTGTGCATGACTTAACAACTCAATAGCCCCCACATACTACACGTCCCTGTGCTTAATGATTATCCCTCAGTTCCCCTCATTCACTGCTATATAACAATGTACTAGCATGGCAGACTGAGGGGAGGATGGGCAAGTTGTGTTAATTCACAGATGACCACTGAAAGACTTACAGATAAGTTATAGGTCATCCTTCATGGTCTCTGAATCATACATGTGAGTGACTGACACCTTCACTTGCTGGTAGGATGCCATGCCAATACAGATGAAATTGCTGCTCTCCCAAATGCAGCATCAGATGTTGCTCTGATGTGCAGTCTGTAATGTTTGATGAATGTCAAGAGTTAGCAATGCAGCGTTACAGATGTATTTGAGCTGGATCCCTTTAAGAAAGACCGTTGAGGTAGCAACAGCTCTGGTTGAGTGTCCCTTCAAAGTTTCAGGGAGCAGTCTCTTTGCCAGCTGGCAACACAGCTTGATTATATTGGCAAACCACTTGGAATAAACACTGTGGTGTTATCTGGGCCCCCATCCTTGAGTTCTGATAACTAATAATGTTAGTTTTCTGAATGTACATATGATTGGGATGGATAGTAAGATTAAAGTAAATATTCTTTAGGTCTATCAGAAAGAACTAGTCTCCTTCCTTGAGAAGTGGTGATACTGTTTCTAGAGTCACCATTCTGAATTTCCAGGTTGCCTATATAGGAGTTTGCATCTCTTAGGTCCAAGATATGTTGCAGGCGCCATCCTGCCTTGGGGCCATAAAACAACAAGAGTAGAACCCAGTGGAGAGTGTATCTAAGGGGACAGGTTTGATGGCATTCTTTTTTCAGGCGCATACCCTGTTTCCCAGAAAATAAGGCCTAACCTGAAAATAAACCCTAGTATGATTTTTCCGGATGCTCATAATATAAGCTCTACTCAAAAAAAAAAAAAAGCCCCAGTGAAGTGAAACCCAACCCTCCACCAATGTGCAGTAACCAGAAGATAACATGACTAAAATAAAACATCCCTTGAAAATAAGCCCTGATGAGCTTTTTAGAGCAAAAATTAATATTAAGACCCTGTCTTATTTTTGGGGAAACACGGTAGAAAATTTCATCCTGTAGTACTTGAGATTGTTCCACAGGACTGAAAATACCTGTGAGGGGAAAGATGTAAATTCTGTGGCACAGCCTTTTTCAATTATGGTCAGAACGCAACTGTTGTTGGTAGCGGTTCACCAGGTTGGATGGAATGGCACTATGATACAGTGTCTTGCAGAAAGAGGGTCAATGTATGGAGCTCTCAGTCTGAAGAAAGTCAAAGATTGTCCTTTTACTTCTTACTGTGCTGTTTGGTGGTGTTCAGTTGCTTGTGTTTTTAGTATTGTAACTGTTGCCTATAGTACTGTGAAAAAGGTGAGGGTTTCTGCCAGTCCAAATGGAGTCTAGATGAGTATGGATAAGGTCTTCTCCAATAAGATCTGCACGGTCACTGCTCATATTGAGGATAAAACCTCATCCTCTTAGCAGTATTCCTTTTCATATGCAAATTGCCCATTATGTCATCCATTTTTTTATTGAAAATCTCTTCTCCATTGAAAGGTGTATCTTATAGCTGCAGCATCGTCAGAAAGATGAGCTGAACAGAGCCAGACATACCATCTAAAGCAGGGGTCCCAAACTCAATTTACCTGGGGGCTGCTGGAGGCAGAGTCTGAGTGAGGCTGGACCACATCAGATTTTCTGCCAAGCGGAGCAAGAGCCCAAGGAAGCCGCCCAGGAGTT